TGCACACTGTGCAGATATAAAATAGTCACAGATGTTTTCAAAAATAAAAAATAGGCTAGGTACAATGGCTCACACCTATAATCCCCAGCACTTTGGGAAGCCAAGATAGGAGGATCACTTCAGCACAGAAGTTTGAGACTAGCCTAGGCAACATAGTGAGACCTGATCTCCACAAAAAAATACAAAAATTAGCTGGGTGTGGTGGCATGTGCCTGTAGTCCCAACTACTTGGGAGGCTGAGGTTGGAGGATCACTTGAGCCTAGGAGATAAAGGTTTCAGTGAGCTGTGATAGTGCCATTGCACCCCAGCCTGGGTAACAGAGTGACACCCTGTTTCTAATAATAATGATAATGATAATAAAAATAATTAATTTTAAATAGCGTAAAGGCCATGGTATAGGGGCCGATTTCAGTGCTGCGCGGCCCGCGGGGGCGCGACCGCCCGGGCCCGCGCCGGACCCCGGGCTTGTTGTGAGTTTCTTCTCTGACAGAAATGGCGTCATTGTCGCAGACGGAAACTCCGTCGGGTCCCGACAATGGGGACGGGAAGCTGCCGGGCCGTGTAGGTGGCTGGGGGTGCGGGGCCGCCGGGCGCCCCGAGGGGGCTTGCGATGATGACGGCTCGGGGGCTGCCGCCCTGTGCGGCCCTTGCTTCGGGGTCGGGCTCCGCTCGCTCGCTCCCCTCCGCCCGTGCAGGGAGAGGGGTGCCCGTGGCGTTGACTGGGTGGCTTTTGTTTCCCCTCCAGGTGCAGGCGAACCTGGTGTTTTCGAGGGGTTCTCGGCCGCAGAAGCATCATGAAGGTAAGGTGGCCTTCAGAAAGCGAGCCTCGGCTTAGAGAATCCAGGAAGTAGAGGTTTGGACGGGGTCGTCGTGTGGGGCCTTCCAGTTGTGCGGAGGAAGGTGTGTTCGGTGGCTTGGTGACCGAGCCCTTCCGCCCGAGAAGTCGGGCCCAGCCGGTGTGACTCTCCACGGGCTCTGCGGCGGAGTTGGTGTCAGCTCTGGGCTGTCTCGTTGGGGATGATTCTCCCGTCTGCAGAACGTCTTTTTGCGGGGAGCGATAGGAACGACTGCGTGCATTCAAGTGTTTTAGAGGGTAAAATAGAAAGCGGGTCAAGTAATCTGACTCTAGAAACTGAACTGTATTGTGGTTCTATCAGTTACACTGATGAAAGAAAATCTCATTTATTGTGTGAACCAGGACTGTGAAATTTTAGCAGCAAACTATTTGATTAGCCGCACAAGTAATCTTAATTGAGATTTTAAAAGAGAATTGATGATCTTTACACAGTTCAGAGATAGCAGTTGTTCCTTGTATTTCCAGGAACTTAGGGATATAGACTTTTTTCGTTATTGACCTGGTTGGTCTGCGAATTGTCACATCCTCTGTTGCATTGTGAGGTGTGGAAAACCGATTGCCAGGTTCCTCTTAAAAGTAAACATATTAGCTGAGTGGGGAGAATAGTGTCTAAAAAGTACAATTTGCTTAATTGCTGGAAGAAATTATAACAGCCCAGGTTGTTTCTTCACTTTAGAGAATATGTAAATAAATGCTGTCTTATTTTTTTTAACACACTCTGGAATAAAAAGCCTTAGCAGTCTGAAAAGTATAGATTCAACTGATGGAACTTAGATACTAGCTGATATTTTTTCATCCATTACCATTCAGAAGTGCTCAGAAAGGGTAGTGTGTGTTCACAAGTGTAGAAATGCAACAGATAGCTTGTTAGAATGTAATGTCATCTACTTTTGACAGTTCTTTTGAAGTATTTAAACAAATGTATTTCGTTTCTCTTCAGAATCAAGATGGCTTTTACAGTAGTGTGTTCAAATTAAAATTTGTAATACTTGTGTATATAGAAGGTAAAAGCTGTGGTTCCTTAAATGTTTACCTACTATAGAAAGTAATTAAGTTTAGTCCAGTGTTTTAAAGTTTTCTTTTCTTTTTTTTTTTTTAAGTAAAGAAAAACTTCCTGAAACAGTTTATATTTGCTGACTTCCTATCCACTTTCATGTAAATGAAATAAACAGTGATGTTTCAGGAATAAATCCCTTTTGGGAGTCACAAATCCTAGCTGCAACTCCTGTGACCTGTGTAAAATAGTGAAGTGTTTTTATTAGGTAAACCATATATCTGCTTTGGTGTTGGATGAGAATTTCTTAAGCAAAGTGTTGGGTTGAGTAGCTTATAAGAAGCTGAATAACTAAGTATAAGGTTTAGTTTGGAATAAATGTTGTAGTCTGTCACAGGACCCAGTGTAGTGCTTGTCACTTCTTAGGTACTCATTTATTATGGTTAAAATAAATGTAGTGAGTTGAAGGTCTTTCAGATTAAAATTTTTTTCTTCCTTTTTTTTTTTTTAACTTGTCTATTTAAAAGTTAATAGTATGTTGGGAAACTTTCAACTAAAACGTTCCATGGTAAAGACTAGGCAAATGCAAATTTTTTTGGTATCATTTTAGAACTACTAATTTTAAGTGCTCAGCATTTCCATTCTTACTGTCTTAAAAAAAAGTACTATTAATGTTAAAAGGAAAATGAGTTGCTAAAATAAATTTCTAACTTTATACAAGAAGAATTTCTTGTTATTAGTATAGCAAGTCTTTTAGGGAATCTACTAATCACTAGCTCTAAAAACTTAGTTTATTTCTTTACAACTTAATTTCCTATGTAATGAAAGGCGAAAAGCCGCCCATGATTTGTATTTTGCTTTAGCAAAAATTGCAGTTCAGAATGTATTTAGTGTTGATTATATTGGGCTTAAGTTTTCTTTTTTTTTTTTTTTTTTTTTTTTTGAGTTGGAGTCTCACTCCTTTGCCCAGGCTGGTGTGCAGTGGCATGCATGCTCACAGCCACCCCAGGGTCGACCTTCTGGGCTCCAGTGATCCTTCTGCCTCAGCCTTTCAAGTAGCTGAAACTACAGACACGTGCTATCATGCCTGACTATTTTTTATTTTCTTGTAGAGACGAGGTCTTGCCAAGTTGCCCAGGCTGGTCTCGAACCCGTGGGCTCAGGCAGTCCACTTACCTCTCCCTCCCAAAGTGCTGGGATTACAGGCTGAGCCATCGAGCCCGGCCTAGTTTTCTTGTTTAGTGTTCCCAATTTCTATGTAACAATGACAATTGAGCCGTAGAAGGATTTATGACATTTATTGGATTTTACCAAACACATTTGTGCTTTGAAGCATGCTTTTAAGTTTGAATTGTCTGTCCTGCTAGTGACAAAAATGTAAAAAATTTTAAGTGACAGTGCATGAAGGTAATTGAAAGTTAGAATATTTAGTAATACTGTTTTGTTGTTGCTTTAAAATTTCCAAAATTAAAAATAAGATGTATATGCCATTTTAGATGTTACATGTTTTAGCTGCAGTTTTCCTGAGTACTACCTTTAAGAATTTATGTGACTAAATAAATTCCCATTACTGACTAGCTTACTCTGTCTTGTAATATTTTTGCAGTGTGTTTTTGAGAAGTATGATTTGTAGCAAAAAAAGCAATTTGTGCTTTGATGTAGATCATAGTGTACTTTTGATAGACCTTGTAGCATCAGTGATAACACATTATCAGAAATCATAGGTTACTAAAGTTTGTAAATAATTTCAACACTTAATTTTTTATTATGTCAGATTCATTTCCTACTTTTTTTAAACTAAAACTTTTTTTTTTTTGAGTTGGATTCTTACTCTGTCCCCCAGACTGGAGTGCAGTGGCATGCTCCCGGCCACTGTAGCCTCGACCTGCTTGGCGCCGGCGGTCCTTCCGCCTCAGCCTTCCAAGTAGCTGGAACTACAGGCGCGTGCTACCACGCCCGGCTAATTTTTTGATTTATTGTAGAGATGAGGTCTCGCCAAGTTGCCTGGGTGCATCTCGAACACACGGGCTCAGGCAGTTCACTCGCCTCGGCCTCCCAAAGTGCTGGGATTACAGGCTGAGCCACTGAGCCTGGCCTAAACTAAAACTTTTTTATGCTTCTGTATTGTGCATGTTATTAACATCTCTCATTACATTGTAGTAAATTTTTAGATG